GCGTGCGTGCGTCCGTCCGTGTGAGTGTGCAACCGTGCGTGCGTGCGCCTGAAATTTTAAAAGATCGCGAATTAATAGGTGCGAAATTTTAAAGGATCGCTTAGAAATTTTTGGGCACATCATTTCCATTAAGGGCGTCGAACCTGACGTGCGTAAGACCGAGATAGTGCAAGCCTGACTAGCGTATAAGAACCTACAGGAGCTGCTGAGTTTTTTAGGGTTCGTTAATTAGGTTTGACAATTTATCCAGAATATGGCAGGGGTAACTGCACTCTTGACTGACCTACTGCAAAAAAAGACGGAGTATAGTTGGGGGGAGAAAGAGCAACCTGCCTTCTCCATGCTAAAAACTTTACTGTGCTCAGCACGTGTCCTTCGCTTCGCCGATACTCGTGGTTTGGACCTAGACCCCTAGGCCCCAAGGCCCCCGCCCAGAAAAACCACACTGGCCCCAGGACAGTGACCGCCCCGAGGCCGCACCTCCAGAGCCTCCACCTCGTTTCCTCCTACCACAGCGCCACTCCAGACACTGCACATGGACGTCTGGGGCCCTGCCCTGGTCCATGGTCTTAGTCGGGAGCACTACTTTCTAGTCGTCGTTGACGACTTCTCGCGCTTCACCACAGTGTTCTGTGGGAGCGGAAGGCTGACGTGCCTGTCGTTCTCCTTCCGTAGATTCTCACTGTTCACACCACCATCGTCTGCGTGTAGGTCGATTACACTCTGACCGAGGTGGCGAGCTCGCCTCTGGCACTCTAGGATGGTTCTGTCGTGTGGAGGGCATCTGCCAAACGTACGCATTACCAGACTCCCCACAACAGAATGGGATCGCTGAGCGAAGCATCGGCCTGATCACGGAGGTGGGTTGCACCTCCATGGTCCACGCTGGTGCACCCCATTTTCTGTGGCCGTTCGCAGAGCGTTACGCTGCTCACCAGCTTAACAGGTTTCGCTGACCCTCCTCAGTACCCAGTCTCCTGGTGACGCTTCATCGTTCCACGTCTGGGGCAGCCTTGCTCACGTCCGCGACACTGGCGCGGACAAGCTCTCAGCCCGCACCCTTCCTTGTGTTTTCCTGGGGTTTCCGCTTGACGCCTCTGACTGGCTGTTCTACCACCCGTCACACCACCGCTTTTACCACTCTCGTGATGTTACTTTCAATGAGATGCTCCCCTACTACCGGCGCTTCCCGTACCGCGGCACTCATGTGCCTCCTCCTCCTCTTTTCGTTGTCCCTGCCCCGCCTACCGCACCCTTCCCGCCCCGCCCGGCCCAGTCTGGTGTCTCCCACGCCACTCAGTTCCCCTCGATTGCGCCTCTGGGGGAGTCGGCTGACTCTGGGGGCCCAGGTGCTAGGGGCGCGCCTGCTGTCCCTGTGGCGCCTCCCCCAGCCTCGGTGCCCAAGTCTCCTCAGCCGACTCCCCCCTTGCCTCAACAGCAGCAGCAGCCACCAGAGCAGACTCAGCGGCAGTAGCAGCAGCAGCAGCAGTGAGCTCTGGGGGTGCTGGTTCTGGGGGTGCTGATGTTGGAGGTGTTGGTGTTTGGGGTGTTGGTTCTGGGGGTGCGAGTTATGGGGGGGCTGACCCCGGGAGTACTGGTTCTGTGGGTGGTGCGTCCGAGGGTGCTAGTCTTGCGGGTGCTGTTTCGGGGTGTGCCGGTGGCAGCCGCAGTGCCGCTGGAGGTCTTGGAGAGGGCAGGGAGGAGCCGCAGCCGCAGCAGCAGCCGCAACAGCAGCAGTAGCAAATGCAGCCACTACAGCAGGGGCAGCCACGGTCTGCCCTTCCTTTCCTTGGTCTTGCTCCAGGTTCTCTTGTCCGCCCGCTCGTTCCCCCTCCGGTGCGTGACCCTGCTTACGGCCCGTTGTTCCCTCCTCCGGACTCCTCTCCGGCTCGTTTTCCCCTGCGCTCCCCTCTGTCCCCAGACTTGTCCCCCATTCCCCCTCGTCCCCAGTCCCCAGTTTTCCCCACTGGGTCCGTTGCCCCTCTGGTGCTCGTCCTGTCTCTCCTCGTCCTAGTGTCCACCCTATGGTTCTTCGTTCGCATGCTCCTCCAGTTACAGTCCTCCCGTTGCCTCCCCCGTCGTCGCTTCCATCGTTCCCCCCTCCTCACTCCGACACTGCTCTCGCTGCTCGTCCTACCCTCTCTCGCGCTTGCTTGCGTCGCTTTTTACTAATTCTACTGCTCCTCCAGAGACTGTCTCTGTGCTTGTCGCTGCTGTCCCTGACTTCGCCGCTAGCCACTGCCTTGATTACGTTGCCGATCTAGTCTCTGGTACTGCCCGCCCTCCGTCCGTCGGGGGTGCACTTGCCCTTGGCAGTGACGTGTTAGAGGAAAGGCAGTACGAGTTGGCCTACCTTGCTGCGGTTGTTCCCGATCTCTGCTCAATGCTTGTATCCCCAAAGGGCGACCGGGACGCTCTCGACATCCGTGTTTCGCATTCTTACGCTAAGGCGGTGTGGGGGCCCTGGGCAGCCCAGTGGATACAGGCCATGGAGGCTGAGATGGCATCCTACAGATCCACAGGCACTTATGTCGACGTAGTTCCCCTATCTGGGGCGAACGTAGTCGATGGCATGTGGACCTACAGGGTGTAGCGCGCACCAGGAGAGCCGCCGAAGTTCAAGGCGCGTTACGTAGCTAGAGGCTTCAGCCAGCGTGAGGGTGTGGACTTCTTCCATACCTTCTCCCCAACCTCAATGATGACTACTCTTCGGGCCCTTCTTCACATAGCCGCGCAGCGTGACTACGAGCTTCTCTCACTCGACTTCTCCACAGCCTTCCTGCAGGGTAGTCTGCACAAGTAGATCTACCTCCGGCGCCCTCTAGGCTTCTCTGGGTCCTTCCCATCTGGGACGGTGTGGAGCCTGCGCCGTCCTGTCTATGACCTTCGTCAGGCACCCCGTGAGTGGCATGACACGCTTTGCACCACTCTTGCTGAGTTGCAGTTCTTTCCGTCCTCTACTGACCGCTCTCTCTTTGTTCGCACGGGTCAGACACCGTTCTACATTCTAGTGTACGTAGACGATCTTATCTTTGCTACTCCTGACAGAGTGGCACTGGCCTCAGTGAAGGGTGAGTTACTGAGGAGACACACCTGTACAGACTTGGGGGAGCTGAGGCGCTATCTGGGCTTGGAGATCTCTCGTGACCATGCTACTTGCACGATCACACTCTCCCAGTCCCATATGGTGCAGCAGATCCTCCAGAGGTTCAGTCTCCAGTTCTCCTCAGCACAGCCCATCCTTCTGCCTGTGGATCACAAGCTCTCTGCTCCTGTTCCGGCTGAGCCGATCGAGGCTAGTGGTCCATACGCAGAGCTGGTGGGGTGTCTTATATACCTGATGACATGCACTCGACCAGATCTAGCGTACCCTCTCAGTCTCTTGGCTCGCTTTGTTGGGACATGCAGGCACCGACCAATCCACTGGTCAGCTGCCAAGAGGGTAATGCGGTATCTGGCGAGTACATCCGGACTGGGGCTTGTGCTAGGAGGACGGGAGCCAGTGGTGATCACTGGACACACAGACACGTCGTGGGCTGACGACGTGGAGACGCCCAGGTCGTCTCAGGGCTATTGTTTTAGTCTTGGTGCTGGTGCAGTCTCTTGGAGGTCCACCAGGTCATCGTCCGTAGCTCAGTCCAGTTGTGAGGCAGAGATCTATGCTAGGGCTATGGTCGCTCAGGAGCTCTGCTAGCTGACATTCTTGCTCACTAACTTATGTGAGCAGCCTAGGTCTGCCCCGGTCCTGTTTGCTGACAACAGGGCCATGATCCTTCTGTGTGAGAAGGCTCGACCTGAGGGCAGGGCAAAGCACTTTAGCTGCGGTACTTCCTGCTGCGTGAGTTGCAGCAGCGCGGCCAGGCTCGAGTGGTACAGTTGGCCTCAGAGGCCAACACCGCTGATATCTTCACCAAGGCAGTTGCGTCTCGTGACCATCAGCGGTTCTGTACTCAGCTTGGTCTCGTCTCCGTAGCAGCACCACTCCTTGTATCGTGAGTCATACTATACCTGCTAGTACTTGTTGTTCTATACCTGCTTGTTTTCCTACACTTGTTGATTGGCCTTGTGGCATCTTGTCTCAGTGGTCAGACTAGTAGTGCTGCCCTGAGTTGCCTTGTTGCCATCACCAGAGGTCAGACTAGTAGTGCTGCCCTGGTGTTATGAACTGCCACTATCTAGGCTAGGGGGTGTATCAACAAATATATTTATACAGATTAGCTAGGTCATAATTGTTTATAGCCTAGCTAGTTTAGTTCTTAGTGAGTACAGCTCTAGTTTTGTATCCCTTGACATTTTCCCTTAGTCACACTTTTCCCGCTGCTCTAACACCAATAATGTAGCATATCTATCAAGCCCAAACAAATATATATACATATATATAATATTATATATATATATATAATTTGAAACACGATTCGTCCCGAAGTTGCTGCCTGGAGAAGAGTCGCGAAGTTTATGCTGGTGAGTGGGATGGAAAGAACTGGCACCGAGATCTGTGTAATATATCAATGAATGCCAATGGTATGCTGTAGGCATGGAAGAGGGAGAGGCAAGGGCGAAGGCAGGTTGACGACGCCAAAAGCTGTGGAATTCATGGTGGACAATGGTTTCCAGGTGCATTGAACTTGGAGAGGTGGGTGATGGACTCGTTAGGAGATGATGGGAGAAAAAAAATGAAGTGAACATCTTCTAAGTCGTTTTTTTTTTTTAAATCAGGGAGATAATCGAACACCAATTACACTATTACACTATTTGGAAACTTCCCAAGGAAAATTGACAGAAATATTTATTTCGAAATGGTACAACAAAAAGAGAGTAGGGGAGAAATCTATACAAAATGGTACACTAACCTCATTGTGATTATTTTACTGTGCAACTACTTCATGCCGATCATTCCCCCCAATCCCCAAACCTCGTATTCCCGCTCTCCGCCTTTCTCGCCCGTCGTTTCTTGTTCTTGCTCCTCCAAAACTCCTTATCCTGGTCGGTTTATCTTCTTCATCCCCTACAGCTCTTCCCAACCCACCTCTCGCCATGGCTGCCGTACCCTTAGCGCGTTCGTCGCTTCAATCCACTGCAGCGTCGTCGAGGATCTATTCCTTTCAAATTCCGCATATCCCCACAGAAAAAACGTCTCCTGCATTTCCAGACCGCCCACGGCGATTCAGTTTCAAGGATCCATCGGCTGTCTCGCGGCCTCGGACAAGAAATCAGCAGCACCGCGAAGAAAGCCCCAACGCGTCATTATCTCACGCTTCTCACCAGCATTTCGTCATGCAAGTGGTTTCGCAGCGTTCCTCGCGTTTCTCGACGCGTCTTGGGTCGTCGTCGCTGCCTCGCTCCCTCTCCAGACCCTCCCACGCCCCCCCTGCTCGCCATGCCTCCTTGTTCCCGACCTATCCGCCAATGCACCCCACGCGGCGGTTTTCACAGGCCGCGCAGAGCGACGGCGGAGTAGCTGGCGAGAGAGTGACATCGTGCGTCGAGGGCGAGAGGCTTCGAGCAGCTGCGCGACGACAACGACAACGGCGACGACGTCGCACAGCTTGTCGCGCGTCTGCAGGCGGTCGCGACAATCGCGAAGATTCGCTCAGCGACAATCCCCACAGCAACGCGCTCTGCGAACGCAGCGAACACTCGTCTCAAGACCCGTCCCGGCTATTGAGCTCCTCGGGGACGGAGCGTAAGCCGCTGCCCGTACAACTACTTATGGCGGCGGTTTCCTCTCCGTCTGCCCCGTTGAAAGCGGCAGGTGCGGCTGTAGCGACAGCAACGGTCATTTGGCTCGCTGCCGCCCTCCGCTCCACTGGCGTGCTGCCACGTGTCTCACTCAGATCGCTTTTGCTCCCACCGCCCGCCCATGCTGCTGTGTTAACCACAGCTGGCCTCAAACCGAGTAGGTTAGGCTCGGTTGCGGCTGACCCCAAGCCTAGCAAGCCAGGCTCGGATGCCAGAGCTGCAGCGGTGGCTCGGAATGGGGGTGGGGAGGAGGCACTGGCGGGTCAAATGTCGCAGCCAAGAGAGCAAGGGATGCAAGAGCAGCAGCAACAACACGTGAGTCAAAAGCAGCAGCAGCAGCAGCAGGAGCGGAAGGCACCTCAGCAGAGGCGCAGGGCGCAGCACTACGACGTGTCTGGCCGCACGGGAGTGGCGCCCGCGCGCTACACGGCCATAGTGCGCTTCCCCAAGGCGTGCGGCATCCTCGTCGGCACGCCCGTGCGCATGCGAGGCATCGCCGTAGGCTCGGTGGTAGCGGTCCGGCCGAGCCTCACAAGCGTGGACGTGGTGATCGAAATACTAGACGAGGACATCGTTATTCCGCGCGGCACGACTGTATTCGTTAACCAGTCGGGGCTTATAGCGGAGACGCTGATTGACATGACGCCGCTGCTGCCGATTCCCGACTATGGCGCCGGGCCGAGGGACGCTGGGTGCCGGGAGGAGGGGTTGATCGTGTGCCATAGGGAGAGAGTGGAGGGGGAGATAGGGGTGAGCATGGATGAGATGGTGCGGCTGTGTGTGAAGATGGCGAGGCAGGCGGAGAGAGAGCGGGGTAAGAGGAGTGGGGGAAAGGGCGGCGTGGTGGTGAGCAGCAAGGTGTGATGGCGGGAATGTGGGAGCTGCAGTTTCCATGTGGTGGCTGGGGGCAGGGAGTGCGATTGAATGTGAGAGCCGCCAGGACGCATGGGTGTGATAGCTGGTGTGTGGGGAGAGCGAAGGGTGCAAAGTTGGGCGGGGAGACGGAGGCAGAGAGGGCCAAGAGGAGCGGGGGGTGAGGGTAGGATGTGATAGCAGCGGTGTGGGGATGATGGCTCAAATAGGGAGAGTGAAGGGGGTGAAGATGGGGAATCCTTAGAAGCATGGGTTGGTGGGGGGAGGCGGAGTTGCGAGGGGGAGCTCGAAATCAAGAGATTGATCGTTTCTGGTGCTGGAGGAGCGTTGGGTGAAAGTAGTTTCAGCTAGTAGAATGGAATCTGCAAGGGCACCAGCCAGGACCTTGCCAGGGCGGAGGTGGAAGGTGTGGAGGAGTGAAGACGAACTACCTGTACTGCTTTCGGCTGCCGTAAGCTAGCTGCCATGGGAGCAAGAGGATTAGCCGAGCCTTGTGGTGGTGGATGGAGCCAGCTGCTGCGTCTCCCTGTAGAGGCTTGTTGCTGATACGTTTTTTGAGGCTTCCAGCAAAGGCTGTGCGAAATTCAACAGTAGGTTGCTCCTACAGCCGCTTGGCAGACATGCTGCGGCTACCCTGCATCATGCGCGAGAAAGAATGACTACAATGATGCAAACAGGTTGGTTTTGTCTAAGTGGTTGTACCCTCTAAGAGTACGCACCTATCTAGGCTATAAGACATGCATAATATGTTTGGCACACCCCCTAGGCTAGATGACAGGCCGTGCCTGGCAAGAGACACACAGCTCAGGGTGGCACTACTAGTCCAACCTCTGAGGTAGGGATCCGAAGACCAGTCAGCAAGAGTACAAACTAAACAAGAGCAATCCAGGGCGGCACTACTAGTCCAGCCAGTGGGACAAGAGCCACAAGGCCAGTCAAGATAATATAGAAATAGTATACAATCAAGGTGTCAAACATGTTTATTTATCATGTTTGTATAGACCGTATAGGGTAACCTCCTAGAGGGTACAACATTTAGGTTTATGTGCATGTACTCTCTCTCTCTAATTTATTCATTCTAGTTTTGAGATGGTATCACGCGTAGGTTTCGAGCCCCCCCCCCCCCCCCCTACCGCTTCCGCCCCTATCGTCGCGTCTCCTAGCCTAGCCTCGCCCCTCCTGAGCCCAGTCGCGACCCCCCCCCTAGCCCCGTCGTTCTCCTCTCAGGCCCCGTCGCGCCCCTTCCAGGGCTTCGTAGCGCCCCTTCAGGCCCCGTAGCGCTCCTTCCAGGCCCCGTCGCGCTCCTCCCAGGCCCCGTCGCGCCCCTTCCAGGGCTTCGTAGCGCCCCTCCAGGCCCCGTCGCGCCCCCTCCAGGGCTTCGTAGCGCCCCTTCTGGGCTTTGTCGCGCCCCTCCTGGGCTTGGTAGCGCCCCTCCTGGGCTTGGTAGCGCCCCTCCTGGGCCCCGTCGCGCCCCTCCCAGGCCCCCGTCGCGCCCCTCCCTGGGCCCCGTCGCGCCCCCCTCCAGGGCTTCGTACCGCCCCTCCTGGGCTTTGTCGCGCCCCTCCTGGGCTTGGTAGCGCCCCTCCCAGGCCCCCGTCGCGCCCCTCCCTGGGCCCCGTCGCGCCCCTCCTGGGCCCCGTCGCGCCCCTCCAGGGCCCTGTAGTGCCCCTCCTGGGCCCCGTCGAGCCCGCTCGGCCCCGTCGCCCCAGCTCGGCCCCGTCGCGGCCGCTCGGCCCCGTGGCGCCCGCCCGGCCCCTGTCGCAGCCGCCCGGCCCCTGTCGCACCCGCCCGGCCCCGTCACGCCCGTTCGGCCCCGTCGCCCTCGCCCGGCCCTGCTGTGTCCTGCCCGGCCCCGTCGCAGCCGCCCGGCCTCGTCGCTGCCGCCCGGCCCCGTCGCAGCCGCCCGGCCCCGTCGCAGCCGCCCGGCCCCGTCGCAGCCGCCCGGCCCCGTCGCAGCCGCCCGGCCCCTGTCGCAGCCGCCCGGCCTCGGCGCTGCCGCCCGGCCCCGTCGTAGCCGCCCGGCCCCGTCGCAGCCGCCCGGCCCCGTCGCAGCCGCCCGGCCCCGTCGCGTCTGCCTGGCCCCTCGTTGCGCCTGCCCGGCCCCGTCGCGCCTGCCCGGCCCCGTCGCGCCTGCCCGGCTCCGTCGCGCCTGCCCGGTCCCGTCGCGCCTGCCCCGGCCCTCCATACTTCCCGGTACTGTCCCTCGTTCCCTGCACCACTTTGCACCCTCCTGCACTTCCCTGCTCCGCCTTGCACCGCATTGCACCTCACTGGACCGCACTCCACCGCACTGCCCTGCACTCCAACGTCCTACACTGCCCCTGATGGCTGCTGAGCTTCGTTTTGATGCTGAGGGTCAGCCTCTGGAGTTCGAGGCGTGGCTGGCTGACCTTCGCCGCCACCTCACTGGTCAGCGGCAGGACGGCCACCCGCTTTCCGACCACCTAGACGGTATGCTCCCCTGCCCTGACCCCCCTGCTGTGCTGCCCGCTGATCCCACGCCCGCTGAGCGCGAGTCCACTGCCGCCGCTGCCCTTGCCCGCTCTGTCTGGCTTTCCCGCGATGCCCTTGCTCAGCTCGCCATTAGCAATGCCCTCCCCCCCCCTGAGCGCCCTCGCTTTAGAACCATTACTACCGCCCAGGCCTACCTCGATGCTGTCATCAAGCGCTATTCTACCCCTCCTGCTGCCTCAGTGGGTCGCCTGATCCTCCCCCTGCTCTTTCCTGACCTTGCGTCTTTCCCCACTGTCTCTGACCTCGCTGCCCACCTGCGCTCGATAGATGAGACCTGGCGCGCTGCCTGCACTGATGCACAGCTTAGAGCCCACCAACCCCCCATGACCTCTACCCTCTACCTCCTTGCCACTCGCCTCCCTGACCGCCTTGCCGCCGCCCGCGACCAGTTCCTTAGCATCCACCCCGCTGCGCTCACCCTCACTACTAGTCCAACCTCTGAGGTAGGGATCCGAAGATCAGTCAGCAAGAGTACTACAAACTAAACAAGAGCAATCCAGGGCGGCACTACTAGTCCAGCCAGTGGGACAAGAGCCACAAGGCCAGTCAAGATAATATAGAAATAGTATACAATCAAGGTCCTAGCAAGTGTGAAGCTACAGGAACTAGACCAAGCTGTACACAGTGCCGGTGATGACCTTTAGGCGCAAGCGCCTTTGTCAAGATGTCAGTTGTGTTGGCACCGGAGGCCAAGTGTACTACGCGGGCCTGGCGGCCAGTGCTGATCTTAGGATTTTCACAACTCTGAAATCTGGAAGTTACTTTCCCCACTACTCTGAAAACCAGAGTGATCCTCCACACTTACTACCCTGAGGCATCAGGGTAACCCTACGTTTTGGAGTTTTTTACTCTGACAAGTCAGGGTGCCTTTATTTCACCCTCTTAACAGTGTGTGTTATTAGACACCGTGGATCTAGGGGGGTATGTGCTCTTGCAATAAATATAGTGTTATATTCCTTCATTCACTCATCAGCATCATCAGCATCATGCCATACACACTAGTAGCACAGGACTCTAAAAGGCTAGTAACATGTTGAACTTAGTTTGAATTTTAGAGGTTGTGTAGCCGAATCGGAAGGGATGTTCCTCTATCCGATACGGGTATTCTCCGAGTCAAGCAGATTTGTTGTGCGCCCGTTGTCGTGGTCTTCGATGCTCGGCTGGGCTCCCTTGATTTTCCCGCTTCCCATCCGTTGCTCCACTCACAAATACTGTAGGTGACCTCTGTTCACTGTGGACCTGAAGGCGCAGGAGCCAGGGAGCCAGGCTCCACTAATACGAATCCCCGCCATTCCATGTCGTCCGTTGGGCTCTAATCTGCTCCGTACCAGTTCAAATTGTTGACATTCGTAACTGCGGCAGCTGCAGAAACTTGTCACCTGTAGTAGCAACTGATGCAATCTCACCCTACGCTGCCGCCGCAGCAAGCAACAGGAACTCGTTACCCACAGCAGCAACAGCGGTGGTGGCGATCCTGTCACACACACAAATAAGCAACGTGAGCAACAATCGTATCACTGGTTGCGTTAGCAGTGACGGCAAACTCATCTCGTCACATCTAGCAACATGAGTGAAAATCGCGGCACTCGCAACTAACAACAGCAGTCTACGCGGAAATTCGGTCACTTAGCAGCAGCAGCTACGATCCCACTATGCACAGCAGTAGCAGCGGCGATCATCCCATGGGCGGCAGCAGCCAACAGAATTGGCGTCACTCGTAGTAGCGGCAGTAGTGGCGGAAATGGCGGCCACTCGTAGCATGTGATGTGGTGTGGTATGTTCTGCTAGTATGCTAGCACGGTTGTTAGGGCATGGCACTTAGCGAGCACCAGGAGCCTGGATTCTTCCCACCACTGACGCCATCATCGAGATCAACCGCGCTAGGCATGGCGGACCCTGGTAATGAGAGAGGGCGTTTGCTGAAAAAACGACTAAGGTGAGGAACGAAGATACGTGAATGCTGTGAGAGAGGCTAAAGTGGGGGAGTGGGGCTAGAGAGGGCTTGGAAAAAGGGAGGCGTGAGGAAAACATGTGTCCAATAGGGATCATGGAATCTGCCAGCAAGGGCGAGACAGGCATCATGTGACGTGGGCCAGCTGGGCGGTCTGCGTGAATACGGCGGGGATATGGGGCCACGTATGTAGACAGGGGGGTACACGAAAATCCGGGGGTATATGACGTGGGGCCAGCTCGGCGGTCCGCGTGAACAAGGGGGCATGTATGGACAGGGGGGTACAAGAAAATCCGGGGGTATCCCCCTTACAGTAAACCCCTCAGGGTGGTACAAAAGAAAACCCTGGCTTATCAGAGAAAATGTATAATCTCAAAATTTTACCCAGAGGCGTAAGGGTGGTACACGAAATCAACTCTGAAAATCAGAGAATCAGAGTAATTTACTCGTGAAAAATAGGCACTGCTGGCGGCGCTGCTGTAGCTTACGCAGGAGGAAGTACCGCAACTGGATGTGCTTCGCTCTGCCCTCCAGTCGAGGCTCCTGACACAGGAGGATCATGGCCCTGTTGTCAGCGTACAGGACCGGGGCAGAGCTAGGCCGCTCACCTAAGTCTGTGAGCAAGAAGGTCAGCCAGTGGAGCTCCTGTGCCGCCATGGCACCGGCGTAGATCTCAGCCTCACAGCTGGACTGGGCAACAGACGACGAACGAGTGGACCGCCACGAGACGGCGCTTGCACCAAGGCTAAAGCAGTAGCCCTGGGAGGACCTGAGCGTCTCAGCGTCGTCTGCCCAAGAAGCGTCTGTGTGCCCAGTAAGGACCACTGGCCTGTGTCCTCTTAGCACTAGCCCCATGCCCGATGTACTTGCTAGTTAACGCAAAACCCTCTTAGCGGCCAACCACTGTTGCGGTCGGTGTCTGCCTGTGGCCACAAAGCGAGGCAGGATGCTGAGAGGGTATGCGAGATCTGGACGAGTGCAAGTTATCAAGTACATGAGGCAACCCATGAGCTCAGCGTAAGGACCATTAGGCTCTACACACTCCTCACGGGCTGGAGCAGAGAGCCTGTGATCTACCGGCAGAAGTGTGAGTTGTGCAGAGGAGAACTGAAGGCCGAACCTCTGAACGACCTGATTGGGTCGGAGTGATGGTGCGCGCTAGTCTATCCCTGGAGATCTGCAGGCCAAGGTAGCGGCGCAGCTCTCCCAGGTCAGTACAGGTGTGTCTCCTCAGTAGCTCAGCCTTCACAGAGGCCAGTGCATCTCTGTCTGCAGTAGCAAA